CGGCCACGTCATAAAAACAGTATCCTAGTGAATAATCAGTTATCATCCACAACATGACCAATAACAAGTACTTATTCGAATAAATTATTAGAACTCATTAGATAATTCTTTATTCGAATAACGAAGCTCTAACCCCAAACACAAAATTCTTTACGGCTTCTTATTATTTTATGGTACCGGAAATCTAGAATCGTCAATCACATATATTTTTGAATGTTATTTTATTTCGTACAGAAATGATTTAGAAAAAGTTACAAAGTTATCGGTTTATTTTGTCTAAATGATTCAAAATAGCATTTCAAAAATATAAGATTAATCACATGATTGTCGATTCTAGATTTCCGACATCATAGAAACAGGTGTAAATATTTTTGTGGCAGTACTATACTTACTTACGTTACGGTTGTATTACTACCATCTAAGGATGAAAAAAAAACAGTTTTAAACACTTTTTCACCGATTTAAAACAAGTGATGATTAAAAGTCCGAATAGTTAATTTTGTTTTTAAATATATTAAGAACATCCTGTTTTTAAATACGTAATAAAAAACATATTCCATCCCTACTACTATCGCAACCTATTATAGCACAACATATGTATTGTCGTGGGTTGGGGAGGTTAATAATCATGTTTAGTAACATTTTTTTTAAATTTTAAATATTTTAAATTAAAATATCTAAACAACCATCTAATAAATTTGATGAGAATTATATAAAATTAAATTTTATTAAATTTGATGATAGTTGTCGCCGTAAGCTGTAACAAATGCCGTAGGTCGCACTACTTGTCGTATTTATATATAGCACACTGTAGAGTTGATTTGGGTCTAGTATTTCTGAAGAAAATAAAATATATTTACACTTTCTGTACGAGCTTTGATAATTAAATGCAGATTTTGAAAGCTTCGTGAATGATCTTTGTTTCAAAAGAAGCAAGAAAAGTATATGATTTAAGTCATAACAATAATATACATTAATAAGCGAATACTTTGTTTTATACCCTGGTCACTATATCAAGATCGCAGGATATAAATCAGTTATGCCCTAGGCACTATGTGTATAAGCGGAAATTTCATTTCCATTTATACCCAACTAACCAGGATATAACTATTGCTAATTTCCGGGAGACTAAAAATTAGAAAGACCAATTTTATGTAGTGCAGTTGCTTAAAGTGAATTAATATGTTTAAGCTTACTGAAACTGCCTAACGAGTAGGGATAATTAGATTTTATGATTTTTAATCTTCTTTTGAAAGTAAATATTCCTCAAATATTGTGTTGTGACGACGCAGCTACTTAGATTACGGCTTACATCAATACTACAAAATTTGCAACTTTAAACAGCAACTTTAGTAGTGCACCTCTACAAAGAAGGATTTTCAGATGCAGTATCAGACATAATGTGATTGAGGTTTAATATTTTTATATCTTACGGGCTAAATTTTTTAGATAAAAATTTAATAAGCATTATTTGAGTGTCGCTAAAAGAAAACCCGAAAATTTAAATATTACTTTTATTTAAATTTTCGGGTTTTCTTTTAGCGACACTCATTTAGAAAAATCGTACTTTGGGCTTTTAAGTTTATAACACAACAAACTTAGCCTCAAAGATTAATATTTTAATAATAAATTTTTAAGGCTGAGTTTACTACATTATAAACTAGTCTCAATTGAAATAACATTGTTTTTGCTATTTTGAAAAGTATTTCGAATCCTTATATTCTTAACATTAATGTAAAGATGACTGAAAGCACAGCTACACTATCAAAAAATGGAACATCTGCTATAAAGCTTGATCCAAAAGAGAAACGAATCTTGAAGGATCAGATTAAAGTTATTAAAAGAAAAGAATCATATTTTTCTTTATATAGATTTGCTACAACATTTGACTGGATAATAATGGTTTTTGGGTTTCTATTTTCAACGGTCGCAGGAATTGCCATGGTATGTTTATCATAATACCTCCCTTTTTGCGTGATTCATATTTCACAAAATTTCAATTTATATCAATTTAATAGGCTTTCAGATCAATCCTTTATGGACAAATGACCAATTATTATGTTCGTTTTCAAACTTCCTCGATTGACACTATTGAATTTTCCGAAGAAATAAATTTCCTTGTATTGGCTTTTATATCCCTTGCAATTGTCACTTTCGTTGCTACGTATATATCTATAACTGCTTGGGTATATACTGGTGAAAGGTTGTTTTTTTTTATATAATATTAACTTCAAGTTCGATCGTTCAAGAGGATATTAATCTCATCACGTGATTGTTGTTACTTCAGAATCGCACGACAAATCCGTGAACGATATTTTCGCGCTGTTCTTAGGCAAAACATGGCTTATTTTGATGAATATGGCTCAGGTGACGTTACTTCTCGCATTACTTCTGATATACATATGATACAAGATGGTATAAGTGAAAAGGCTTCTATCACTTGTCTAGTAAGTTCATGCACATATAAAGCGTTTGATTTATTTTTATTTATTTTTTCATTTTTTCTTTTATCATCATTTTTATATATTGTTTCATTGATTACTTTTTCAGTATATTTCAAATTTCCTTGCGTCATTCATTATCGCTCTTATAATAAATTGGAAAATGACACTTACGACAAGCGTCATTATCCCTTTTCTTATGATCAATAGTGCTATAATGAATAAATATAGTACTATTTTTACGAAAAGGGGTTTGGAATTTTATTCTCGTGCTGGAACAATCGCCGACGAAGTTATTTCAACCATCAGAGTTGCGGTTGCCTTTGGTGCTCAAAAGAAACTCTCTAAACTTTATGATACTTTCTTGGATAATTCAAAAACAGAAGGGTTTAAAAGAAATTTATTAGTTGGTTTTTCTCTTGGCATAATGTTTGCTGGCGTCCCTGCATTTAATGCTTTGGTCGTTTTGGTTGGTTCATCAATGATTATTGATAATGAAATATCTGCCGGAGAGGTATGTGTACCATTTTTTTTTTCTTTAGATATTGATTTATTTAAAGTAACTATTTTCCTTTTTTTTTTTTTAAAGGTCATTGGTGTATACTCTTTGATTGTAGGTGGCTATATGAGTATTTCCAATTTTTTTGACTATATTCAGTCTCTTAGTCTTGCTACTGGCGCTAGTTCAAAAATATTTGAAACTATCGATCGTGTTCCCCCGATTGATATCGCTTCTGATACCGGTGATAAGCCCGAAAACGTTCTGGGTCATATTAGATTTAAAGATATAAATTTCATTTATCCGACTCGCCCTGATGTTAAAATTTTAAATGATATATCATTAGATGTTGAACCTGGTTCTAATGTTGCTCTCGTTGGTTCTTCAGGTTCCGGTAAAAGTACGATTGTATCTCTAATACTTCGTTTTTATGATCCTCTTTCTGGTGATATATTTCTTGACGGACGTAGTATCAAATCTCTTAACTTAACTTGGCTTAGAAGACAAATAAGCCTTGTAAGTCAAGAACCTGTACTTTTTAGAACTACTATAGCTGAAAATGTATCTTATGGATTGGTTGGTTCTATTTATGAAAATTTACCCGATAACGAAAAACGTGAAATGATTGAAAGTGCTTGTAAGACAGCTAATGCTCACGATTTTATTATGGATCTTCCTGATAAATATGAAACTTTGGTTGGTGAACGTGGAATTTTATTATCTGGCGGACAAAAGCAACGTATCGCGATTGCTCGTGCTATTATTAAAGATCCAAAAATTTTATTACTTGACGAAGCTACTAGTGCTCTTGATGCACAAAGTGAGAGTGTAGTCCAAGATGCGTTAGACAAAGCCTCAAAGGGTCGCACAACAATAGTTATTGCTCATCGTTTATCCACTATTCGCAATGCGGCAAAAATTATTGTGATGAATAATGGTTTTATTGTGGAATCAGGTACACACAGAGAGCTACTAGATAAAAAAGGTTTTTATTCTAATCTAGTTGAAACTCAACAGATTCAACAGATTCAACAGACCGTAAAGGCTGAGGAAAACCTTAATATAACTTCACCGAAAGATGAATCCGTTACATCATTCACTACTATCAAGGATTATGATAACCCAATTTCTCGTGACTCTTCTAGTTCTAATTTGGTTAAGCAAAAAGATGATGTTGAAATGGGATTAAAACATAATGAGCATAATTACACTGGTTTGGAATTGATCAAGAAAGTAGCTGCCTTCAATAGACCTGAATGTCTTATGCTTTCCATAGGTGTAATATCATCAATCATTCATGGTAGGTGAAATAGTTCATTTACTATAATAACCCTTTATAAAACAAAAAAAAAAAATAATGTTGAACCATTTAATTTTAGGTGCCATTTTCTCAATTTTTGCTCTTATCTTTGCTAATGTTATTCAAGCATTCACAAAATCTGAAGGTACTTTACGTAATGAAGCAATATTCTGGGCTTTTATGCTTTTTATATTTGCTGGAGTGACTTTTTTTGTGAGTTTCTTCCAAAATATTACCCTTGGATTTGCGAGCGAAAAGCTTTCCGAAAGACTTCGATCCAGGTCTTTCGCTTCTATTTTACGACAGGATATCTCATTCTTTGATGACGAAGAGCATAGTGTGGGCATTTTGACTAGTCAATTATCATTAGATGTAACTCAAATTAGTGCTTTGACTGGTGTTTCACTTGGAAATTTGTTACAAATAACGGCTTTGATCTTTTCTTCCGTAATAGTGTCTCTTATAGTTGGTTGGAAGCTCACTTTAGTCTGTATATGTGCTATACCTTTAATGATTGGATCTGGTTCACTACGTATAAAAATGTTAAATAGTTTCCACCAAAAAACCAAAAAAGCTTACGAATATTCAGCGCAAATAGCTAGTGAAGGTGCTGCTAATATTCGAACGGTCGCTGCTCTCACTCGTGAAAATCATTTATGGGAAATATATCACAATTTACTGGACGAACCCACGCGTCAAGGCATTAGAAATGCTTACTTGGCCTCCATTCCGTTTGCTTTTGCAAATTGTATCGCCTTTTTATTAAATGCTTTAGCATTTTGGTATGGTAGTAAACTGTTTATAGCTAATGAATATGATATTAGAAAAGTGTATACGATTTATGTAGCAATTGTTGTTGGGTCATCGGTTACTGGTCGTTTCTTTGCTTATGCTCCAGATATAGCTAAAGCCAAATCTGCATCTGCTTCAATAGTATCAATATTAGAACGTGTTCCTAAAATTGATACATGGAAAAATGGTAAAACAATTGAAACTGTAAAAGGTCACCTTAAATTCTCCAACGTCCATTTCTATTATCCGACTCGACTTGACGTTCAGGTTCTCCAAGGTCTAAATTTAGAAGTCAAGCCTGGTCAATATGCGGCATTAGTTGGTTCGTCTGGATGTGGTAAAAGTACCGTAATAAGCCTTATTGAAAGGTTTTATGAAGCGACAGATGGTACAATTACAATTGATGAAATGAATATTGCCAAAATGGATGTGAATCATCTTAGAGCGCATATGGCTCTTGTAAGTCAAGAACCATCATTGTATGATATGACAATAAAGGAAAATCTTCTTTTGGGTAGCATACCTGGACAAAATATTACTCAAGATGATCTAGAAAAAGTATGCCGAGAAGCAAATATTCATGAATTTATTATTGGGTTACCTGATGGTTATGATACGCGCGTTGGTGCAAAAGGAGTACAACTTTCTGGTTATTGTCTTAAATATTATTTCGCACAAAATCGGTTTTTTTTTGAGTTCTATATAACATTACTAATACATTGTTCTTAGGCGGTCAAAAGCAACGAATTGCTATTGCCAGAGCACTTATTCGAAATCCCAAAATTTTACTACTCGATGAAGCAACATCAGCTCTAGATTCAGAATCCGAAAAAGTTGTACAAAAGGCTCTTGATGCTGCCGCTCATGGGAGAACAACCTTAGCAATTGCACATAGATTATCAACAATTCAACATGCCGATATTATATTTGTTTTACAAGGTGGTAAAGTTCATGAACGAGGTACACATCAAGAATTATTAAGACTAAAGGGGGTTTACTATGCGATGGTACAAAGGCAACTCCTGGGAGAATCAAATTTATAAAAGTTTATACTGTACTATTATAATTCAAAACAATTTTACTTACCCTATGTGTATTGAAAGTCTGCTTTTTATTATTTAATTGGAGATTGGAATCGTTCAATGGTTGACTGATTAATCAATCAATATCTAATTGATTATTCATAAAAATTATGAAGCTCTATGAAAAATAGTTGCGAAAATAATAAATTTACAGATAAGGATTAATATAGAGGCAGTATTCTTATTTTTCACATACCCGACTTGAACAATCAGATCATCAAATTTTGTGTGACGAACGAATGTAAACAAAAAGCAACTAAAATTCTGTATAAAAAACTAAATATTTAAGAAAAATTAATTTCATGCTGAGCATTTTTACTTGGAAGCTAAAAATGGTTGTTTTAGTAAAATTATGAGATATTTTCAAAATATATTGAAATTTTACTAAGAAAATCATCTTTCTGCTTCTAAGCAAAAATGTTTAGGACGAAATTTTACATTTAGATGCATTTTTTAATTTTTCTTATAAATATTATATGAGCTATTATTATAATAAAAATTTTCTAACTTCTATTCTAAAAAAATGATTTATGAACTAACCAATCATAATCGAGATGCGATATATATGCAGATTACATGATGCGATCTATACATATATATTGAATAATAATTTTGTATAATAAACTAATACTAAATAATTATATCAAATAGATATTGAATTATTTTGATGCAGAATTAATGCTTAACAGTCAACTGATTTGCCATATTTATCATTTAATATAGTAAAAACATATAGAATTATTTATAATTTTGGTCTGATGTTTTTCTATTTACATATTAACTTAAAATTAAGGTTTACAAGTAAATATATTAAAAAAAAGAAAATTTAGCTTAAAATTCAAATTTAACTTTTGTAATATTTGTATAATTTGAAAATGCAACTTTAATAAAAATAAATATTCATTAATTTTAAAATAATAATTATATATAAAATTATATACTAAACAAGTTTACTTAGAAAACAAAAATAGATTATCTTTATAAAAAAATTTGCTATATATTAATATTTAAATTTATAGTTTATCTATATATTTTTTTACTATAATAATCTTTAACCTCTTAAATAAACTTGTTTAGTATATAATTTTATATTTTTTTACTATAATAATCTTTAACCTCTTAAATAAACTTGTTTAGTATATAATTTTATATATTTTATATCTTGTTAATTTTGTTGTTTTAAACTTTTTACTAAATAAAAAATTAAATTAAAGTTATATAAATTTTTTTTATATACAGTCAACCCCTTTATAGTCATCTTCTTCTCTATAGTCACAAAATTGGTATAATTACAAATTTATTTTTACCAATTATTTATAACTATATAAATACCTTTATATTAGTCTCACCTCTTTACAATTACAGTTTTTTTATTCTGAAGATGTACTGTAGAGGGGTTTGACTGTAATTACAAATTTATTTTTGCTAATTATTTATAATTATATAAAAAATATCTCTATATTAATCACACCTCTTTATAATCACAGCCTTTTGTATCCCGAAGGTGTGACTGTAGAGGGGCTTGACTGTAATTTTAATTTAATTTTTTATTTAGTAAAAAATTTAAAACAAAATTAGCAAAATTCAAAATATGTAGAATTAAGTACTAAACAAGTTTATTTTTTTTAAGTCTAGCCTTTTCAATTTATTATTTTTATTAGATATCATAGTATTTTCAAGGGTCTAACATAGTATATTTTGATAAAAATATATTATATATATATATATATATATATATATATAACTTTTAGGTATTATCTATTTAAGGTTTTACTATACTTCTATAGTTATTTTTTATATATCATATCTAAGATCTATCTGTAGATCTCCTATTTAAACTCATTAATCTGAGAATTTCGCTTATGTAACCATCTTTTGAATACTAATAAAAAAAATTCCTTGCGAAATTTTAGTACATATTAACCCCGTCCCATCCCAAGCCTGCCCTTACCCTAATTTAAGCTACGCTTAATTTCATTTTATGCAAATTTGATTCGATTTACACATTACACGGATTTGCAAATTAATATCTTAAGATTTAGAGCTAGATAAATTAGAGCATCGGGAAAAAATTGCCAGTAATATTAGTATTAACTAGAGGTGGGCCGCTGCGCAGGCGGAATTTTTCGGAGGTTCGGAATATTCCAGAATCTAACAATTATGGCCCGCATTAACAGAAAACTCCCTAATGAGGGCTTGTGCAGGCTGCGCAGCCTGCGTAAATTCAAAAAATCTTCGATTTAAAGTTTTTAACAATGAAATATTAAAAAGAAAAATCTCAACAATCTAACAATAAATTTATTTAAATATTTAGATAGGTTTATTTTACATAAATAATATTAAGCGCTACTAAAAGAAAGCAAGATTTTAGGCTTTGAATTTTCAAGGCTGAATTTACTTACTTCGAAGTTCC